AGAAGAAGAGTAAGTGACGGGGGAAGTAGAAATTAGAGCCTTAAAATATTAACATATCAGACATTCGTAAAGAAATATGCTTGCATTTTTGCAATTTTATAATAATCAGTGTTAGCATATTTTAATAAGCTAACACTGATTATTAAAATAACTCAAATTATTTGTAGGCTGATTACAATCAACGTAGACGATATGGATTCAACTATCAACAGCGCACTCGAAAGCGCCAAAATGTGAAGGCCATGCTAATCTCGACTTAGAAAAACCACGTCAAGAAGATCACGAATCTATCATTATGACTCATATCATATTAAGATAGTATTCCATAATAATGTTCCCGTCCATATTCTCGTTGAATGGATTCGGTTATTGATAATTATCATAAATGAAGGGTCAAATTCAGGACAATCTGGATATATGCTATATATTTTCTCCCGGTCCCGGTATACCACCAGAAGAATCCCACTAGAAAAAAGTCTTCTTCGGACTTTTGTGGGTTATATCTTTGGAGTTTACACTGGATAAATCCAAACGAATCAATTGTCTGGTTTTCTGAGCTGACGAATCAAAGTAAGTTTCTTCAAAATATAACAGACCTCTTGATAAAAAAATAATATGATGCCTAATATTTTTGTATGTTGCAGATGCGGACAGTGGACTGGAAAGTTTTTTGTTTAATATACGCTATAACCAGTCCTAGTACCCTATTATTTCAGGGATTCCGTCTCCTTTTAAACATTTCTAGGCGCACATTCAACATGATTGTAGTTTAAATCATCACAAAATACTGTTTTACCACACAGGCATGTACGTCTTAACAGTACCTTATAAATAAATCAACTGTGGCAGAACCGTACATAATAAGTCTACTTGCATAACAAAACTGAATGCTAATTCCTCAACAAACCGAAGCTCAGTGATTTATAGCGAAGTGATGTAATCTGTTCTCTATGTCTTAAGACGATATCGACTCATTGAAAGACTAGCTTCTACTTTCCGGATATTTGTGCGACTATATTACTTTAAATTTTCCCAGACTTCTGGAATTGTGTGACAATCTTTAGTGTTTTGTGAGTCTTACAAATGGGTCTAGATCACCTTTTCCCCACCATGGCTCGGGCTGAGGTACGGAATTTTATTACTATGGCACCCCTAGATAAATAAACTGGCACTGTCAGATTTAAATTTTAGTATAGCTTTCTTTCTTCCTCCATTTGTTAACTTTCAAAATTTGAGGGGTCTGGGCCGGCTTTCCCACCCTCATTGATTGAATCTACCTATGTTTCTATCAGATTATTTCAAGCGCTTTATTGATTTTTGTATTCGATGTTTTTAATTACGAAGCAGAAACATAAGTATATAAAAATAAAAAAATATGTTAGGCCTACACTCTCCATCAGTACATCTTCGGAGGTGTTGGGAAAATACACCAGGGACAAAAACACTAACAATAAGTTGTAAGATGAAGGCTGAGAAAACTGGAGCTCTTATTTATAACGGGACAATTTGAACATTTTGTTTTTCAATGGCCTATACAAATACAAAAACAGTAGCAAACAAAAAAGATAATAATCTAAGTAATTAAACAATTGTCAACATAAGTGTGTTTTAGCCTTGCAATTTCCGCCTCATAAATAGAAAAAACAGGCCTACGTAGGACTTACGTACTACTGTACTCACACAGGATATATTTATACTTATATGTATGTATATATTGTATTTTGTTGTTTCTTTGTCGAAAAATTGAAAATAAATACAAATATCAATAGAGTATATCCAGCCACTATATTCTACAGTATTGTTTTTTCAGTATTTTGACTTAAAAATTAAAATATGGTAACAATTAGAAAATAAAAGTACCTCGTGCATATATATTATGTATATATATGTATATATATATATGTATATATAGGCCTATATATGTATATATATGCACGAGGTACTTCATTTTCTAATTGTTATCATTTTTTTTTTATTTGGATTTATATTACTATTTATATTTTATTTATGTCATTTTAACATTGATATTTTCTTTTGACTTAAGAATTTAGTTCTTAGGCTAGTTTAAGTGTGCTTTATTGTTTAATTGTTTATAGTATACAATTTTTGATTCTTATAAATAATTTGTAATTAGGTCTATTCTTAAATTTAGGCCCCTCTCTATTTTTTAACAAGCCCCTTAGGGCTTTCATAAAGGTTCCCTTTTGTCTCCTGTTTTATATTATTTTGTATTTTATGCATAGGGCTAAAGAATGTTTGTAGGCCTATTTGTATTTGTACGAGGTGAGTACTATGCCGTAATTTACTTGAAATACATATTCACGGACGTTTTCGACCATACTGTTAGTTGTTTGATTGAATATGTACATTTGCCTTCAGTCCCCAAGCATATGCCTACTTGATTGTAGAGCAGCAGTACCGATGCATCCGATGGTCCCACATGATCAAATTCTGAATGATCGATCATTGTGTAAATTGTCATTATTTATCACTTATACTTAGTGTCTATTTGAGGGCATATTGTCACGTTTTTGATCAAATCAATTAAATAAACAAACCACTTTGAGCGTGATATCATACAAAACTATAAATTATAGAGAAATGTACAGTACCGCAACGAGAGGGTCTACCGTGTAGCCACAAAGTTAATGGCCAAACGAAAAACGGAAATCATTAAAGGTAACTGCGGTTGTAATCGGAAAGTTATTCACTTTTGCGGGACCTTGGACATCATATATTTTAGGTATATCACAGATCCTTTGTATAGGATCTGTGGGTATATAGACCTACTGGTAAAGCTATACAATTAAGTATTTTGACAGAATTTTTATTTCAAAACACTTTCTTTCTGAAGTAAGGTCATGCTAAAAAGTTGTGCAGCTGGGATTACAGACAAATATATTTCAGATAAATTCCGCTAAACCAGCTATATTTTTTTCATAACATTTATTTTCAATGGATGCATAGGCTTATGAGAAATTTTTCTTTATGTATTCATTGATATACCTGATAATTATTAAATCAGTCCTTTAAATCTGGTTTTTGGCCACATTTCAGTGGCGGATCTAGAAATTAAAGGGGACCCGAGGACAATGGACAGTCCAAACTACCTATCATGTAAGGCGGCACTTTTAGATATCCATGACGAAAGTAGCACTCTCAAAGTTAATTTAAATTGCAATTTTCTTTTTCCAATTTATTTTCCTCTAGGTTTCAAA